GTATATTGTTATTAAAAAAAAATCATAGAAAATTTTTTTATACCAAACTATTATTAAAAAAAAATCTCATTAAATTTTTTTATAAATCTCACTAACACAATCTATTGTTATAAAAAAATCTTTTATTAATTTATTAGTATACTTTCAAAAATAAACTCACTCACTATATCCAAAAGTACACTAGTTATTATTGATATTAATTTTTTAGAGTTTGGATCTGTTATCCATTTGAATATTCAATAAAATTATAATTTACAATTACAAATAAATGGTTGAAACAAAAAATTTTAGAATACACATTTTTCGCAAAATTAATAGTTTATTCATCATGAAATTTATTTCAATTTTACATATAGCAATAGATTCACTATATACAAATTACATTTCAGATATCTGTTATTCAGATACTCATCCATTACTACTACATTACGAAAATAAATTATTAAATTTTATCATTATAGATGATTGCTGGCTTAATGACTACCTGCTAAACCATTGAAATTTATAAGTTTTTATCCATAGTAAATCTGAATGAAATTATTAATATCCATTCAAACAACGGATTCCAGACTCTATTATTTTTAACTTAATAGACAAACTAAAAGTGAAATTATTCAAAGTAATTTTTAATGTAAATGAAAATAAATCAGAAATTCATTATGCACAAATCCTATAAAGTCTTTTGTAAATAAAAGCATGCCTACAAATGAGGCAGCAGCAATATATTGTCAATTATTACATGCATTAATTGCAGCAAATGTTCTATTTTATTTTGTAAATAATCCTGAAGTTCACAAATTATTCAAAGTGTTGCAACCTTCAAACATCCTTCCATCAAGAAAATGGATTAGTATAAATCAAGTTCATAAAGAAGTAGAACTTGAAATAAAACATCTGCTACTCAGAAATAAAGCTAAGTACTTAACATTAACTGAGGACAGATGGACAAATGTATCTCAACATAGTATGTACTCACTCATCAGGAGATTATATGAGGCAAATATTAGCGTAAAGTTGTCAAATATGTATAATCCCTGGAAATTTACACCCTGTAAAAATCTATAAAAATATGGTTTTGCATAAATTACACTTAAACATAGTTATTTAATAAGGCATATCTTAAAAAGTGCCATAAATTATTCATGAATAGGTAGTTTTGAAGTTTTACATCTTGAAATAATTTCTTAAATAAGTGATCTACACATAAAAATAATTTGAAAAATACTTTATTGAATTTGTATCTTAAGTTTTGTAAAGTCTACACAAGTAGGTAGTTTCAGTAATTTATGCTTTAGAAATTTGCATAAATACATGATTTTGTATAACCCACACATGAAAATGTAGCTTAAAATATTTTGAATAGATTTGTATCTAAAAAAGTTGTGTAAAATTTATATAAATAGTTAGCTTCAGTATTATACACTTTAAAAATTTGCGTAAATATGTAATTTAAATAAACTGCACGTCAAAATACAGTTTAAAAATATTTTAAAAATTTTATATCTGATGAAAGTTGTGTAAAAATTTACACAAATAGGTAACTTTGGTAATACACTTTAAAAATTCGCACAAATACATGATACTAAATAATATATACATAATAACAAAAATTATATAAAATAAATACAAAGGTTTAAGCATGTCTCTATTCTAAGATAAATATGAAATATAATATTAATAATTAAAAAAAAAGAATAAATAGTGTAGTGGTTAGATAACAAGACTTGATGGATTATTTAATAATTTCAGAATTACAAACATATTTTGATTTTCTCTTTTCCAATTTTGATTTTATAATCCCATTCATTTATGTAGTATCCATCAATCCATCTTGCACTATACACTTTGTCAAACTCATCATCTGCAACATATTTAATATCATCAAGTCTATAATAATAAGGTATCCATTCTAATGCATTTTTTTACAAAAGAAGTATGTAGTGATAGCTGAGTATTTTGAATAAATTTATTAATATGATAATTCCTGCTAGTCCAATTTTTAAAATTTTGCTTAAACCATTTTGCGTTACATTCATAGTCACAATTACATGACTTAATCAGCTTTTTAACACTTTTGATAAAAGAATCCATTGAGAGTTTTTTCAACTAAAATTCATACGTATAAAAGAAAAAAAAATAAAAAAAAATTTACAGATAGTAAAAAAATTTTGATTCTTTATAAATGGAAGAACAATATTTATGCATAATTACTATGTAATGCCTGATCATTGTAATTTTTATACGAATTCAACCAGATCATTTTTGCACGTAAATTTTTCTAAAACAACACAATTATTAAGAGTTCGTTACAATAAGTTAGATACATGGATGAAGCATTTTTTAGGTTATTTATATTCTATATTATATGTTTATAAAGTTATGTGTTAATTATCCATTATCTAAAGAATACTGTAATAAATATATATATTTAATCATGAAAGATCATCACATGGAAATAATTATTGTTCCTAATTTTTCTTAAAACTTGAAAAAAGTACAGAATCTGAAGGTCATTAAAAAATTATTATAATTACTAGTAGTCTAGTAAAACCTTTTACATAATTCTTGAGAAAATTTGGTGAAGTTGGTTTTATTTTTTTATTTCACTAGTTCCTTATTGAAGAAACAATATGGACAATTACCAAATAGGAATTGTTTGAATTTTGTTTGAGGAAACTTGACAAAATTTGGAGTACTGTTAAGTTATAAATACTCTTATTGGTTGGTTCTTTATTGTAGGAACAATGCTCAAAATAATTATTCTCATTATTTTTTATTTTTCATTATTAGCTTGGAGAAAAGAATGCCGAAAGTCTGTACAATGAGTCTAACTTTAATCGAAATTCAATATATGGTTAGTTTGATGCCAGCATTTTTATAACATTACATATTAAGTTTATGGTTACTTTTAAGTTTAAAATATGACAAGTTCTATGCATTGGATCCGCAATCAGCTCCTACATAGATGATATGTTAATATATATTGATGATGAAAAAAAAAACAAAAGGATGAACATGTACGCAATAAAATGGGAAAATGGTTAATTAACATTTACTTTTGATTTTTATTTCTCAGTAAATTAGTAGATTTTCTTTATGGGAGTTTGTTCTTTTTTGATCTACCATTTTTTTTTCTCTTTTAAAAGATTATCTGAATCAAATGAATTAAACAAATTATCTCAAGAGCAATATAATTCTCTAATTATATTTTGGGTTATTTTTTTAAATTTGGAATTTTTATCGGTATTGCAAAGGAAAATCAAGAAACCTAAATGTCATATTATTATTGGATAAATGAATATAATGTAATAAATTATCAAAAAAAAACTTGGTAAAGAAATATCAATAATCCAAGCCTACTTTATAAGAAAGATGTCGGATCTGTGATTCGGTTAAATTCCGTGAAGAAAACAGAGAAACTTATAAAAATAATATGAAAAGAGTTCATGCTAACAATAAATGTATTTTTGTAAATATAAAGAAATGAACATATAAAAATAAATATAAAAGAAAAGAAAGGTTATTGCTATTTCGAATGGTGATCTGCAAGGATTTAAAAACTAAAAGTTTCAATGATCCGCAATACCTTTATATATATATAGTTAAATGTAATTTATCCTTCTATGTACGAGTCAGATGATTGGCATTTTGTACGCACTAAAAAATGTGCAACCAAATATTGCGTAATGAAAGCTACACAATTTACGCCGACCGTCTTCGTAAAGGCAAATTTTCTTCCCATTAAAAATCGTAAAAATCGTAAAAATCATAAAAATCATAAAAATCATAAAAACCATTAAAAATGTTGAAACTCAATAGAGATGTTATATTTTTAATATTGGAAGAATTGCAAAATGATAGCAAATCACTTTATTCATGTCTTTTAATTAATAGAACTTGGTGTGAAACGACGGTACCAATTTTATGGAAGGACCCTACTAGTAGATATGATCTAACTGACGATGCATGTAGTATTTTATTTAATAAAATACTTTTACATTTATCCGAAGAATCAAGAAATAAATTGAAGAATCAAGAAATTGATCTTCTTATAGAAATATATAAGCGACCTTTATTTAATTATATTAGTTTTTGGAAGCATTTGGATTTATGTTTCTTGGAATGTATGATGAACGTTTTTAAAATCGACAATTCCAAAATATCTAACGAAGTATTAAAATTATTTACTAATAATGGGAAGAAATTTATTTCTCTCTCTATTCCGGAATCATTTAATTATCACTTGTTTTCATGGAATGAGCATTGCTTTTTAGAACTTGAATATTTTTATTTTGACTGTAATATCAATAGCGATATATTAAAAGAATTGTCCAAAATAATTACGTCAATTAAAAATTTGGAACTTAATATTAAATATAAAAATACCACTGATCCTTCTAGAATCGTTAAATTAATCGAAGCTCAAAAAAATCTAAAAGAAGTTAGTTTGATTCATGATTATTACATTAAAATTAATGAATCATATCACAAAATACTTGAAGAATCACTAATTAAATGTGCAAATACCGTTCAATATTTGAAAATAGACTGGAAACCTATCACAAATTTTCTTTCATATCTTGTAAATTTAGTAAGCTTAGAATTAAGTTATTTTTATACAAATTGGAATTATTCAGTATCTTTACCACTTTTAAAATATTTAAAGGCTAATGGCGTCTCATCTGAAGTTTTAGCAAGTATTATTGAAAATACGAAAGGAAATCTTAATGAAATCATTATAAATTATCAACATCACCATAATGATAAAAGGCTTATTAAGGCAATTTATCAACATTGTCCTAATCTTAATTATATTAAATTATCATTGTTAAATAAGGATATGGATATTATAGAATTTCAAAATTTATTAATCAATTGTAAATTTATAAATATATTAGATATTATTGGTATCGGTGATTTCATTTGGAATGAACTACTAATAATATTGACAAAATATTCACCAATCAATTTATTGAAGTTAAAATTATTTTGTTACTTACCCAATTCTAATTTTATAAAATCTTTAAAATTATTTCTTGATAGTAGGAAAAATAAAAGTCCTATATTCTTACAAATAGATTTAATGAGATTATGGGAGAGACAACAACAGCCGATGTTACAACAATTAGAACATCTATTGAAAGAGTATAAAGTTAAAGGTATAATTAAAGATTTTGAATGCCCCTAAAAATAGTTGTGTACAATGTATATAGTATATATATATGGAGTATTGTAACCTCAATTATTTGACAAATAAAATTATATATATTACATCTTCATAAGTATGAAATTTTTTAATTGTTTCCTAACTAAATGAACTGTAAGATGATAGCAAAGTTCTTTATTCATGTCTTTGAATTTAGTGTAATTTACCAGTCTATGTAATAATTTTTGGCAGATAACCGATAATTCATACAATATTAAATTTAACGTAACACTTTAAAAGTTCTGTACAACAAATTATTTTTTTAAAACTGGTATACGAGTCACGTAATGTAAGGTTGTGTACTTCACCTTGTATACAAAATGGGTTTTCAAAGAATGACCATTTTCCCATCATGTGATATGAGTCTAAAATATTCAAAATTTGTATCATATTATTATTACTGATCAAAATGATTAGTTTGATAATAATACATTTTTAGAAGAAATATAAATACTACCATATCATTCATTATATTGACATAATTTAATCTCCTTCCTTTTTTCACCTATTTCTTAATAATATGACATGCTTAAAAATATTTTCAGGAGAATTACCTGAATTATCATATGAAATCATAAAATATTTTCAGAATGATTACAAAACATTACATTCAAGTATTTTGATTAATAGATCATGGTGCCGCTTAGCAATTCCATTATTATGGGAAAATCCATTTTTAATTTGTAAATATTCTCGCAAATATGATTTTATTGCAATTTATTTACATGATCATTTTAATGATAAAGATAAATTAATATTAAATAGATTTGGAATTAATAATGATGTATTTCCTTCGAATACATTATTTAATTATCCTAGTTTTATTAAAAGTTTAAGTGTACAACAAGTTAGAAGTTCTATTATTTATTGGTTTACTAATAATAAGAGTGAATATATTGATACATTTTTCGGATTAATTTACGTGTCATTACTTGAAGTAATCATTAAAAATGAAGCATGTTTACATACTTTTGAATTTTTTACATATGGAAAACTTGATTATTTTATAATTAAGTTAATTTTAAAATATCCAAATTTTACTCATAATATCAGGAATTTAGAACTTGGATTTGACGCTAATGCCGGATTTACAGACTTACTAAAAATTTTTACATTTTAATTGTAATTCAATTTCTACATTTCATATTTACTATAAAAGTAAAGGACTTGAAGATACTTACAAATTAATTGAAAAATATACTTCTCAAATAATTAATTCACAACAAAATCTCAAGAAAATTAGTTTCAAGTGTACATTTTCGATGTTATTATTAAAAAATTTAAATATTTCAAACACTTTAGAAACAATTATATTATGTTATGTAAATTTTAAAAATATGGAGTTACTAAATGAAGTATTTGAACAATTAAATGGTTTAGAATCTATTCATATTTATTTGTTAATAATTTTATTCAACAAATCATTCATATACTAAACCATTTAAATTGAAATCCTTATTTATGAATAATAATTTTAATGATAATGAATTATTACAATTATTATTCCAAAAAAAATATTTAGAAAATATTTCATTGGGACCTTGTATGACGAGTATGTCAAAACAAATTTTATTAGAATCAATTAGAAAATATTGTGTGAAAATTAAGTTTTTTGAATCAATAGAAAGTCATAATATTGATAATTTCCAATTAATATTGGATTCGATTAAAAATTTCAAACAAAGTCTTAATTATCTTTCTATAGAAAATCTTTCATATTTTAATGAATATGCTAGTTACATGATGTTAAATTTAGGACAAATTCTTCCTTATAAGTTAGAATATTTATCATTACAACTTGATGTTAAATCAAGTAATGATCTGGAAGTATTTTTAAAGAATATTAAAAATATTTTTATTGAAAAATTAATAATTGAAGTTAATTGAAGATATTTTACCATATATAAAGAAGCATACTATTATGAAAGAGAAAAGGGTTAAGTATTTGGCTATCGGAATAGGACCCAGAAATATGTATATAGGGGTCAGGTGATGAAAAAAAATTTTTACTATGAGCTGTATGCATTTTTTCAGGGCCGGAATTATGATAATGTCAGTCGGTTACTATAATAGGAAATAAAATTCTGACTTGAATTATTAAAAATTATCTAAAAATGGAAAGATTTTCATGATTTTTTTAGTTCAAAATACGCAAACTCAAACCTGACTTTTTTATGTATATTTCTGGGTCCTATCGGAATTGCGTATATCACATATCAAGAATTATTTTGCATAATGAATCAGAATGAAATAAGTGAATTTGAATCATATAATATTAAAATTAAAAATTCTATAGACTTGATTATCAAAGATGAGGAGATTTTTAATATTGTAATCGAAATGTATTAATTATAACTATGATAAAATATTTGATTAATATACAATCTTATTACTTTTAAATTTAAGATATTTAATATATTACTTTTATACTTGCTATTCCCTACTAATTTTAAAATTATAACTAGCTATGATTAAGTGTATGAATTTGTCTTTTGGCTTAAAGGATTTCTTGGCTGCTTACCAAAAGTTAAAAAACAAAAATCATTAATAAAATATCAAAACGTGACGTTCACAGTTACACTTTGAAAAAATTGATTATCCGTCTGATAATCCTTGAGATCAGTAGATCACACTATCAAAATTAGATTGATTGCAAATGACACATTTTATGTCATCAGATCAGGACTCCGAAAATGTCCATATGTCCATTCAATAAATACATCCTTACCTATGTGAATCATCCAGAAAAAGCTTTTCTTTAAAAAATGTCAAAACTTAACAGAGACATAATTTTCTTTATATTAAAAGAATTACAAAATGATAACAAATCTCTTCATTCATGTCTTTTAGTTAATAGAACTTGGTGTGAAACGACGGCACCAATTTTATGGAAGGACCCTATTACTAGATATGATCTAACTGACAATGCATGTAATATTTTATTTAATAAAATGCTTTTACATTTGTCTGAAGAATCAAGAAATAACTTAAAAAATCAAGGAATTGATCTTTTTGTGGAAACATGTCAGCAACCTATATTTAATTATATTAGTTTTTGGAAGCATTTGGATTTATTTTTCTTAGAACATCACATAAATCATATAATGGAATTTTTTAAAGTAAAAAGCAAAAAAAAAAAATCTATTGTCAAAAATGAAGTATTGGAATTATTTATTAATAATGATAAGAAATATATTTCTCTCTCTATTCCAAAATATTTTAATACTCACTTGTTTTCAGGAGCTGAACATTGCTTTTCAAAACTTGAATACTTTTATTGTGATAAGTATGTAGATGACAATATTTTGAAAGAATTGTCTATGTTAAGTACATCAATTAAAAAATTGGAACTTAATGTTAGATATGGTAGTTTTGGTGGAATCATTGAATTAATTGGAGCTCAAAAAAATCTAAACCAAGTTAATTTAACCTATGATAATGAAGACTATATTAGTAATGATACATTTGAATACTGTCAAAAGCCACTAGAAGAATCATTAATTAAACATGCAGATACTATTCAATATTTGAGAATGGATTGGGAGCCTATCACAAACCTTCTTTCATATCTTATAAATTTAGTAAGTTTAGATTTAGGTTATTTAACACATTTAAGATCTATGCCTTATAATTGGTATCATTTAAAAAACGCATCTTTGCCCCTTTTAAAATTTCTAAAAGCCAACTACATACCATCTAAAATTTTGGCAAGTATAATTGAAAATACAAAAGGATATCTTATTGAAATTAGTATTCATCATAACAATTTAGATGATAACCACTTTATCCAAGCAATTTATCAAAATTGTCCAAATCTTAGTTATCTTAATTTGGCATTATCAAATAATAGTTATAAGGAATTTCAAAATTTGTTAATTAATTGTAAATTTTTAAATAAATTAGAAATTATTTCTATTTCATATAGTAAGATTGATTGGATTATATTATTTGAAATATTGGCAAATTTTTCACCAATCAGTTTGTTTAAGTTTAAATTTACTTCTACTTATTTTTATTGGGAATATAGACAGAGAGATTTAAAATTATTTCTTTGTCATTGGAAGGACAGACATTCTATGTTATTACAAATTGCTTCAAAAGGATCATGTATGTATATTACTGCTAATAATCCAACTCAACAACAATGCCAAGCGAAGCGGCGAAAATTAAAAGATTTATTACAAAGATATAAAGATAAAGGTATAATTAAAAAATATGACATAATTCAAGCTGATATTTGAACCGTTTACTATGTTAAACAAGGGAATTTTTCAACATTCTTTCAATTTCTTCTTTTCATTATTTTAAGTTTATATTCAATTTTTTTGTCTTCACTATAACAAATAAAATTCATTGAAACGTCTATTTGAACTCTTATCAATTAATAAAATTCTAAGTAATTTTCTAAATATATGTTTATATTATCAATTGATATTAAAATAAGAATGAGATAATTCTTTTAATATTATAGCTTTTATTTAAATACTCTCTTACATATTAAATATCACAGCGACTTAAACAAATAAAATAAAAAAAATAAATTAATAAAAGCATAGTCGTCTGGGTTCAGTCTATTCACCAAAAATCATTTCACCAAGTGACACCAACAGGTTATTTCATTTCACCGAAAATCATCTCACCGAAAATTATTTCACCGAATTTTAATTTTTTACTGTAATTTGATAATCAATAACATAGCCACAATTATTAATTTGATATTTAATTGTGAAAATAACATAGCCACAATTATTAGTGAATTGTTTATTGTGTAGAATTATATTAATATACACATAAAAGAAATGTTGTGTAATTTGAATATAATAAAATGTTAACTTTTTTTGAATTAAGAAATAGTTCAATTTTAATTAATTTATATATTTTATTCATATTATGTATTAAAAGCATTAAGCATAAGTTTTTATTTGTGTTCATTTATGCTATGGAATTTCTAAGATATATGTAAGTATTTTTAATTACATAAAGCATTAATATAAAAATATTATAAAATTATATGAAACAAATGCATCCCTATTCGTCTAACTTCATAAATAATACTAAGTACTATCTTTTTTTGTTATCTGAAATATTTCATAATTATTTATTAAAAATTCATCCTCCGTATCTCTTATTTTTTTTTCATAAGATGATTGCATACACTTATTGAAATCATAACTTTTTGAATCATTCTTCTCTTTCACAACCAAACAAATATCATCATTAAATGAAGGACCACTTCTATTATGATAACCTACTGCATAATCCGTATTGTTTACATGACTTAAAATTGGATCTTTAAAATCATTTTTGCTTTTAAAAGAAAATATAAAGCTATCTTTTGTTTTACCATACTCTGCATTATGATGCGATTTCCAGATCAAAGGATTATATCCTCCAATAATTTCTTCTGTTCCTTTTATTTTAATAAATGTAACAGTATAAGGTATATTATCACATAATTCATGAAATTTTTTAGGGGTAAATCCATCACTACTTCCTCTTAATAATAATTTAAATTTATATGGTAAATATAATTCTCTTGTATAAGCATATTTGCTTTCAATATCTTTTTTATCGATCCACCTTGAAATTAATGAAGCAATATTCAGATTAACAATATTTGAATTAATTATTCCATCAATATTTCTGTGTCTAGGAAGTAATATATTATTACTTGGTTCATTATTATAATCTAAGTATGATCCTAATAATTCTTCGTAGAGTTGATGTTTCAAAATTTTTTTATAGGGTCGGACTTTTTGAAAGAAATCTGCAGATGAAAGGCTAAAAAATCTAATTAAAGGTAAACAATGCTGCAAAGTATTTTCCATTGTTTTAAAATCATTGTCTGACCAGGTATTAGGTTCTGGGATAAGTGTAGGATTCTGTGCAAGGCCCCATTTTAATACATGTTCCCAAATTTCGATTTCTCTCATTTGTAAATCATCTCTTTTAATAAGCGAAATAAGAGAATTTTCAGGAAGCGAGGTAAAATC